TGTGAAAACATCTGATCGAACGTACTTCGTTCCATGGATCCTGTTGTCAAGATGCTTTCAAATTTGGAGTTCCAATAATTCGTGTACAAAGAAGCTGATAGTCTTCGATTGTTGATTTCCCATCTCTTAATCTGTGTAAAAGTTCTAAATAGCGTTTATCTTCGGTTCGCATTTGTTGATTCAATTCGACAACACAATTAATTTGGCAGATCACTTTCTGCACACATTGCATGTCTATTTGACGTTCAGTATATTGCTGAGAAGAGGAACAGCTATGGTATAGAGGCTTATCTAATACCGGAGAATATTGTAGATAGTCGCCAAAAAAAATCACATTTACCCCACCAAAAGAAGCATCTGTATTGATGTGTTTCGCTGTTTTCACTATTCGATTGAGTCGAGCTAAGAGACTAAGTCCTATCATGCTCATCTCATCGATGATTAAGTACTTCACATGACGCCACTCGTTTTCCAACTTTATGTCGTCAGGTCTAAATGTTCTTGTTTGTCTCTTTTTAGAATTTTTGCGCGCTTCGCCTAAAAATGAATGGATTGTTAATCCATCAATTTCTGCCGCTGCTATAGATGTGGGTGCTAGTTTGCGCAGCATTTTGCCTCTCTTTGTCATTTGGAAATAATTCGTGATTGCACGAATCAATTGTGATTTTCCAGTACCGCCACAACCAGGTATACACATTAGTAACTGGTTGTCAATAGTGCCTGAAATCATTATGGTTAATGATATTTGATAAATCAAAAATCAAAAAAATAAATACCAGTGTGAAATTGGTTATCACCATCTAAGTGACTAGTAACAATCATAAAAGCAAACTTCTGCTGACCATTTAGTGTGAATTTCTTGATAACATCTGATTTGGTTGGGAAAGAAACTGCTGTAGATGCAGTTACAGGTGGTACAACGGCAATTTTTGCTTTAAATGGACTTGTAGGTATTTCAAAAGTTACGACTTAAACTTGTACATCATCATCTCGTACTTCCAAAGTGTTTTCACCTGAAATTAAATAGCTTCTTGCTTGGTCTCTTCTGATTTCAATGTCACGTTTCCATTCCTTAATCATTCTTGCATGATGAGAATGAGCTATTACAAATGTATTCGAATCATCTACGATATGATGGCCATTCCTGTTCAATATATTTTTGTACTCTAAATAAAACTTAATATAATTAGCATCGAATGGAAATAAACTCACCATTTAGTAATGCAAATCTGTCCGTGTTATCAATTGCTCTCAATGCGTCGCACACATAACGCTGTTCATGAGTACTGAGAGATGCAGAATAAGGTTTAGTGGTAGTCTCGCTTACCAACGAGAGCATTTGTAAGAGTTCTACCGAGTCATCTTCCGAATTATTTTCATCTTCTTCATAGCTATTCAGAATCAGAATAGGATCAATGTTGGTCTTCGTTTGTGCTTCGGCAATAATTTGATGGAGGTGTTCGTCTCGATCGTTTTTACATTCATGCAAAAGTTGTATATTTTCAATAATCTTGAACGCACTGGCAGAGATCGATGATTTTTGAGCTTCCAGTGCTTCCGCCCATGTCTGATTCAGTGCACATAGATCGTGTACTGACTTCCATGGCACAAATAAAGTTAGCAATGCACGACAATAACGCTCGTATGTTTCTTCTCGCTCACGACGAGGTATTTGAGGACCAAGAAGAACTGGCACAACTGGAGTAGAGCGTTTAATAATGATATGGGATAATGATTGTGGATGTGCACTTGCAAAGGTGTGTCGTTCATTCATCTTTGTCCCTTCTGTACACAATCGTTCACCTTCACGTCCATTGGTATTCTTTAGTAAACGGCGATCTGATTTGTCGATTACCTTTTTGTGAAAGTGACTAACAAAATCATACAGGCATAATGCAGTTAGATCTTTTGATCGATACTGATAGTCAAGACGAGTATTCACCATGACGTAACTATTACCGTTTTTTGTTTGTGTTGGTTCCAACAGAAACTGTTCTTCAGTTTCCTTGGCCTCTTCTTCTTGATCTTCATCGAAGCGAAGTGACATCTCTACAAAAAACGGATGTTTAATATTTGTACAATCATTTTAAAATTCTTTTACTATCTGGTTCCTCTTCGTCAAATCTTTTTTGATTTCGCTGTGCGTTCACTAGTTCGGTTTGCAGATAGTTTTCAATCGAAATGAGAAAAAGATTTCTAAATGTATGTGTAGTGTAATGGTCACCATAGTTCATTAGGTATGACGCCACTTGAACACCGGAAACTTCTTGATGTGAAGCAATCATATTATAACAGCGTAAAATAAGTTTGCGCGACTTTTCAACAGCGTCGTCGGTCCCGTTTGCCGGTCGCGACTGCTCGATGGATTGGACTCCTTGTTGTGCAAGAGCAAACATATCACAGAAAGCCAGACTTGATTTTGTTCCCTCTACTGAAAGGAGGGTCATACGCCGAAATGAGGTGGGTTCGTTCGTTTGTTCACACCGAACAAAAAAATGTTCTTTTGACCTTCTGCAGATTGCTCAGTGAAGTAGCAGAAAGGAATCTGCACAATTCGAGCCAATCAGAGGTTTCTCCGATATGAGCTCTTAGCCAATGGGATTTCGCGAAGCCGAAATCGAGCCAATTAGAGGTTTTCTCCTGTGGGCTCTTAGCCAATAGGATTTCGTCGAGGCGAAATTGAACCAATCAGAGCTTTTTTGATATGGGCTCTTAGCCAATGGAAATTCGCAGGGGGCGAAAGCGAGCCAATCAGAGGTTTTTCGATATGGGTTCTTAGTCAATGGGACTTCGCGGAGGCGAAATTAAACCAATCAGAGCTTTTTCGATAGGGGCTCTTAACCAATGGGATTTCGAGGAGGTGAAATCGAGCCAATCAGCGGTTTTGCGGTATGGGCGCTTAAGCAAGAGGATGTCATGCTGCGGAACTGCAGCAAATCAAGCATTTTGCGATATGGGCGTGTAGCCAATGAAATGTAGCGAAGCCGGAGGCCAGCGAATGAGCGGTTTTTCGATATAGGCGATTAGCCAACGAGATTTTGCGCAAGGAAAGCTAAGCCAATGAAATACTTGTGGGTATGGCTCATCAGCGAATGAGATTTTGCGCAACGAAAGTTCCGCCAATCAGAGGTTTTTTGATATGGGCCAACAATCGATGTGATTTTGCGGCGCCAAAATCGGTCGAATGCAAGAATTTCCGAGAGGAGCTGTTAGCCAATGGGATTTTGCACAACCGAAATTGAGCCCATCAGGGGTTTCTCATATGGAGCATCGACGAAGTATATTGCGAGGCGACAAAATTGGCGGAATCTTACATTTTCGGGAGTGGATGGTTGGCAAAGGAAACTTCGCGGAGTGGTACTCGAGCCGATCTGGTGTTTTGAAGCTATGGTGTGAGAAAATGAGATTTTGAGGATGTGGATGAACTTACCATGCATTTTTAGATTCAGATTTCTAGAAAACGAGTTTTGAAGAGCAACTAGTCAAGATAGTGATGGGTTCTTCGATATTCAATGTTAGTGTAGGAATTTGTGAGTGCGCGCCATGAAGTGAACGTATCAATTCCACCCGTAAGATGCTTGGTTGCGACTGTCGGAAGTTATTTACCGCGTAGAGTCCAGTCTGTTGAACGTTGTTGATGTATGAAGCTGGATGTGTGTTATAAATGTGTGTTGTGATAATGAATATGATATGGATGATTTTGAAAGTTAAGGACGCTGGCAACATTTCATTTTCTTGTGTGTATATATGTCCCCAACAGTTGATAGAGGTATGGCATTGTAACAAAAGACGGATAGTAGAATGTATTTCAAACTGAAAGTGTGGATTTGAATATGGTTGTAGTACTTATATTGGGTCGGGATGTATCTGTGTTTTCCTGCAAGTTTAATCATGTGTGAAGGCTAATGCTATTGTGCTACTTGTTTATGGAAGGTTGTTTTTCGAAATGAGGATCAATTTGTCGTCTTCAGTGGTCGATCTTCTTTGTGGGTTAGTTATGAAGGGGTCAGTTGAAAGAACACTTTCCAGTGATAAGGTAGACATAGCAAAGAAAGTTGCCTTAATACTACTCGCCTTTTGTGAAAATCTTAGTGAATTTGTCAGATATCATGCGTGCCAGATTAGGCTTGTATTTTAGTGCATAACTCTCATATGCTGCTGGGTGTACTGATTGAATGCACAAGCGATAATGACTTCGTATCAATGGAGTTCGTTAACATACTTTAAATTTTTCATTCTCTTTTTACTTTTATAGCTTTTATTTAAAATAGGAGTTCGTACAAGTTTTACAAATGATCTATGGATCAGAAGAGTGAATTAAACACATTTCGAGCATGCAAAATAGAGTTTTTGCTTAGAGTTAGATGTTTTTTCTGAAGTCAGAGCACCGTTGAAGTTTTATTTTAAACTGTGAATTGAAAGCGTTTCCGAGTATCTTGTGCTATTCTATCTAATCGTTTAAGTTCTTCTATTTGGGCCGTTGATGGTTTAACTTGAAGTGTTGCAAATACAAATGGCCGTATAATAAGTATATCGTCAAGTGTCTTTACACGAGATAATGGAACATAAGCCGATGCAACTTCGAGTGGTCCAGGAGGCATGACCAGATCGACGATAATTTTACCGAGTGTTTGTCCTTGGCTTGTATGTGTTGTCATGCTATATGCGGGTATAAGCGGAAGTACTTTACGTTTGACCGTGAGTTTTGTTGTTTTCTTGTTTATTTTGGCTGCTTTTGCTACATTTTCTGGAAGAAGTTCTTTGGCGTCGAACAAGAATGTTTTTCACTAATAGCTATAGGAACTATTTTGGAAGACAGTTCAGCAAGTTTTTCATCAAGTTTGCAACCAGGAAATTCCACTAAAGCGTATTTTGGTTGTGTTGTAAACTTGGTATTTGGTGGAAAATTTTGATCATGGTATCGATCATCTTCTGGTGGTTCATCGTATACAAGTTGACGAAAGATTCCTCGCGTACCGTTAGGGAGTCCCAGTTCGGTAGCGATGTTTTCTGTGAGTAAAACTGGCATTCCTGGTATGAGAGGTAAATACCCTGGAAGATGTTCTGTTTTATTGTTAGGTAGTTCAAGTATTGCTTGACGTAACCGTATATCATCCACAGTTTTTCCTTGAATATAATCTTGAGCAATGCATACAATTGGGGTAAGTCTCATTTCCATTGTTTTGTTTAAGACAGCCCTATTGTTAATTTGAGTGCGTAGCGTATTCCGAAAAACCAGTATTGGAGCCTATTAAAAGAAAAGTAATGTGACACACAGAGAAAATGAATGTGCACACTTCGTTCCATGGCTTTTGTTATAGAGACACTTGAAGTTTTGGATTTCCTATGACTCTCGTACACAGAAGTTGGTAATCTTCTATTGTCGATTGTCCATGTCTTAATCTATTTAAAAGCTCCAAATATCTAATGTCTTCGGTTCGCATTTGCTGAGTTAATTCAACAACGCAGTTTATTTCAGACATAAGCTTCTGTGTACACAACATATCTATCTGACGTTCTGTAACTTGCTGTGTCGGTGCGCAGCTATAGTAGAGAGGCTTGTCCAAAACAGGAGAATATTGAAGGTAGTCGCCGAAGAAAAAGACATTGACACCACCAAAAGATATCTCAGAATTTACGTGCTTCGCTGTTTTGACTATTCGATTTAGATGAGCTAAGAGACCTAAAGTCCTACCATGCTCATCTCATCGATTATCAAGTACTTCACACGACACCATTCATTTTCTAATTTCATATCACCAAGTCTAAATGTACGGGTTTGTTTCTTTTTACAGTTTTTGTGATTTTCACCTAAAAATGAATGGATAGCTAATCCATCAATCTCAACTGCTGCTATAGACGTTGGCGCCAGTTTACGCAACATCTTGCTCCGCTTGGTTACTTGCAAATACTTGGTGAGTGCACGAATCTACTGAGATTTTCCAGTGCCACCACACCCAGGTATACACATCAATAACTGATTATCGATAGCATCTAAATATCAAGACTAACTAAACCTTACAACAACAAAATCGAGATAACATACCGGTATAAGCATAATGTCCACCATCTAAGTGACTAGTAACAATCATAAAAGCATATTTTTGCTGTATATTTAGCGTAAATTGTTTGACGATATCCTGTTTTGTAGGAAATAAAACCGCATTGGTTGCAGTCACAGGTGGAGCTGTTGCAACTTTCGTTTTAATTAGGCTTGTTGGAGTTTCAGTACCTACGATTTCAATCTGTGTTTCATCATCTCGTACTTCCAGAGTATCTTGGCCTAAAATTAAATAGTTTCTTGTTCCATCTCGTCGGGCGTCAATATCACGTTTCCATTCTTTAATCATGGTCGTATGATGCTCGCGAGCTACGACAAATGTGTGGACGTCGTGTATGGCACCATAATTATTTTCGCCCAGAGAACGTGTACGGCCTAAATCAAACAAAATATTTTCGGAATATGCCAGTAATTAACTCACCATTGAGTAATGCAAATCTATCTGTATTATCAATTGCTTGTAATGTATCATGAACATAATGTTGTTCGTGAGTAACTGTCAATGCCGAGTAAGTATTTGTGATGATCTCATTTACAATGGAAAGCATTTGCAAAAGCTGTTCAGGATCGTCTTCTTCAGTATTTTGATCTTCTTCATAGGAGCTAGGAGTCAGAATAGGATCAATACTACTGTCATTTTGTGCTTCTAAAAGAACTTGACGAAGGTGCTCATCTCGATTGTGCTTACATTCATGCAAAAGTTGTATATTTTCTATAATTTTGAGTGAACTAGAAGCGATCAATGGTTTTCGAACTTCCAGTGCCTCAGACCATGTCTGATTTAGTGCACAAAGATCGTGGACTGATCTCCATGGCACGAATAAAGTTAGCAATGCACAATAATAACGCTCGCGTGTTTCTTCTCGTTCGCGATGGGGTATTGGAGGACCAAGCAGAACTGATATCACTGGAGTGGTACATTTAATGATGATATGTGATGATGATTGTGGGTGTACACTTTCAAATGTGTGTCGTTCGTTTATTTTTGTTCCTTCGGTATATAATCGTTCGCCTTCATGCCCATTTTCATTCTTTAGTAAACGGCGGTCTGATTTGTCAATAACCTTCTTGAGAAAATGACTGATAAAATCATATAAGCATAATGCACTTAGATCTTTTGATCAATGCTAATAGTCCAGACGAGTGTTTATCATGACATACCCATCACCGCTTTTGGTTTTTGTTGGCTCTAATAGAAACTGCTCTTCAGTTTCTTTTGTATCCTCACCTTGTTCATCATAGAAGAACGTTAGGATCTCTAGAAAAATTGCTTATTAAATATCTATGTAATCATTTTTAAAACTTTTTACTATCAACTTGCTGCTGCTCAATAGATTTGACTCCTTGCTGTGTAAGGGCAAACATATCATAGAAGACTAGAATCGACTCTGTTATAGAATCATTTATATAGTACCCTAAAGCTTTAGCGTCGTTACCATTCTAGATGAATTTAATATCCATTTTGGATCGGCAAGCATTTAAGAGCCATTCATTGAAGCTGTCGATTCACGGATGTGATCGATGCATAGTTATCTGACCTGTAGAAGGGTCGATGTTGGAAGTCTTCACGAGTACACGTGGCATACGTATTCGACAAGCTTTTGGACCATTGGACTTGCCTTTCGAGTATTTGTAACACATTGCAGAATGCTCATGAATATTGCATGTTTCGACTAATCTCACTATATCTTTGCGAAAAATACGATGGAAGTCATCTAACACAGGATTTGACGTTGGTTGGCAGGCCGGTACAACTTTATTCGTTATCGGTCCAGTTTCTTCTAAAATCAAGACAAAAGCAAAATTAAGAATATACCAAAAGCTACAAACTCACGAATTGATTCACTGTTATCGCTTGCTGTACTAGTTCGATTGTCGCTTTCATCTTTATAAAGAATGGTCAAATTTGAAAGTACAAATGATCTAATGCAGTTATTATGGTTACTAAGAATCTGCAATTCGAATTAAACACATTTTGGATTACCGAGAATTAGTTGAAAGCTCAACTCCAGGCTAAAGCAATGATAATGTATTCTCAGGGTATAAAATTTCGTCAAATAGGTAAATGCGAATACTTCAAATCACAAATTCGAACGGTGTTAAATGTATTATCTCGAAATAGATCTAAATCTTCTTTTACAACATCTTCTAAATATTTTAGTAAATTTTCACGAAAATCTTCGTGTTGAACCTTTTCTTTTAATTGTGCTGGAGTAAACTCATGATTGAGCCAAATTTGAAGGTGTAAAGTGAAGCGAGTCTCTGCCTTGATTTTCGACAGTGCCGAAATATGCTTTTGTAGGACCAAGTACACTACCGAGCACAAGACTTTTCAAGATGCTTTTTATTAAACAGTTAAAGAATTTTGCAGTAGCAACAGGATGTGTTGCGATAATTTGAGCATGTTCATAACTTGTGCCCAACACTTCTGGCAGAACTTTGTCAAGATCTAGATCAACACCTGCAAAATAAAGTGCCACTGGACTATGTATGTAGGCTGGATTGATTGGTAGAAAGAGAGTTGGAAGACCGAGATTAAAACACAAAGAATGAATTTTCGTACGAAGAATCGACCGTGAATGAATTGAATCCATAATATAACCACCAACCATTTTAATATGCTTCATGAGCGTATTTATTCTTCCATCGATAACTTTTGAATAAGGCGCTTTTTGGATGTTGACAAGGGCCGTTGTTACATCTTCAGAACTCAATAATTCAAGAAGTTGTGCGGATTGCTGAAAGTACAGCCTTGATGCCATTAATTGGGCATGGAAGCACGCGATTCGGCGTTGTAAAATATTGAAGACAACAAATATGAATGAGTAGCGTTCTTCAAAACGATAATCTCCGTACGAAAGAAGATATCTGAGATGCTCACGAAAGTTAATTTGGATCGGTCGAGAGTAATCTTCAAGTGCATCATATCCATACGGAAAAAATGTAGGAAAGATACTCAATAAAAGATTTGGATTAGAATATTCATTGGCCGGTTTGTTACCACGAGGAATTATGTACACAGTATCTTGTTCAATGTTTTTCTCGATGTCTTTTTTCAGCGTTTTATCACCCATTTGTACCATTATTCATTCTAAAAGGTGTTCAACAACGTCATCAGACGAAATTTTGGTACCGTTAACATGCAAGATAGTACTACAACACAAACAATGGTAGATGCAAATATCAATGCCTTTTTGCTTTGCCTCGCAATTATTGGTATAGCTGTTGTAGTGTTGGACTCAGATGCATTGATCAGAGGGTTAAGAATATAAGTTGTCCTTTCGTTTTCAACCGCTTCTACCTTAGCGGAAATTTCCATTGTTGTCCAGGAACACTTCGGGACATCATTCTCAAGTAATTTATTGATTGTTGATTGATTAATTGTAACATATCGATGGAGTAGATTGTTTGGACTAAGTCATATAAGTGCATCAGAAACCTTTGTTTTTCGAACAGTCAAAATATTTTTAATTGACTTCTTTGTGGAATGCGACAACTAACAAAAATAATTTTTAGAGAATCACATAGATCATCTAATTCTAATGGCAGGGTAGTAGCTATGTTAATAACATCTTGAGGAAAGCTTATGCAGTTGCCTTTTAAAGTTGATTGAGCTGTGCTTGTCGAATGAAAAGACGAATATAATTTCACAATGCAGCTGTTATGGTGGTAGAGAGCAATAAGTGTTTGCTCAGGAATGGTTAGTCCTTGTAATTGTTTTGTTATATCTCCCATTCATACTTTATTGGCAGCTGAAAACTTGCGTATTTTTGCTTTCACCACGGACTACCAACATTTTGTACAAATGTTGCGGTATATCGAAGATTGTCTCTTTTTATCAAAAGTTTTATGACGTACTGCTTTATAGAGAAATATACTGTTTACCCAAGTAAATGATTGATCGTCCATTGATGATTTTATATTCCTATCTATAATAAAAAAACCTGATTAATCTTGCTAGTTTAAGTATTACAATGATTCAGCTGCTTCTCTTTCGTCTCGACCAAAAGCTAAACCAAGATCGGCATTCTTGCTAAACTTATCTTTTGAATGGAACTTGCTCATTCGTTGCATTATAGAAATTATGTCATAAAGATCATTATGTACTCTAATCAATT